AAAGAGCACCTTAGGAACTTCATGAATACCAAACCAGCACTCCAAAGAATTTTAGACAATATCCTAGGAAAAGTCAACGAGGATCACAACCCCAGGAAGCACAGCAGAATGAATCCATCGGGCATGACAAATTAAACACAAATGGGGAGAATCCAACAAAAAGAAAAAGTCATGACAATGATAAGTCAATACATACCAGTTACAACTATCAATGTTAATGGTCTCAATTCACCAATCAAAAGAAATAAGCTGGGAGAATGGGTCAAGAAGCAAGATCCAACAGTATGCTGCATTCAAGAAACACCCTTAATTTGAAAAGAAACTCATAGACAGAAAGTTAAAGGGTGGAAAACAATACTCCATGTGACAGGAACCCCCTCCCCCCCCCCAAAAAAGCAGGAGTAGCTATCCTCATTGCAGATCAAGTGGATTTCAAAATCTGAAACACTTCTGGTCCCAAGAATTTCAGATAAGGGACAGTCAACCTGTATGTACAAATCTATTTTGAACATCTGTTTTCCTTTCTCTTAAGTAAAAACTTAAGAACTGCTGGTTCTTAACAGTAATAAAAAATTTCTATATTGTTTTCCAAAATGGTTTTATCATTTTACATTCACATTAGCAGTATTAAAAGTTCTAACTGGTTCATACCTAAGCTGACATTTGTTCTTGTAAAACTTTTAACTTCATCTCCCTAATGAGTGTATAATTCAATCTTCTTCTTGTACTGATTAGTATATTTCTGATTCTAGTGTTGCACACCTTTCCTTGTGCTGTACTAGCTATTTATCATCTTCTTGTGTCTGGTTTTTAATTGGGTTGTCTATTAATGAGCTGTAAGAGTTCTTTATATATTCTGGTCATAGGTTATATGCATTGGAAATATGGTCTTTTTAAGGACTACTTTTCATTTTCTTAACGATGTCATTTAAAGTTCTAAATTTTGATGGAATCTCATTTATCATTTTTTTCTTTTATACCTCATGTTTTTTATATCCTAGGAAATTCTTGCCTACCCTAAATTCATAAACATTTTCCCTTATAATTTCTTCTTAAAGTTTTATAGTTTTAGTCTTTCATATTTAGGTTCATAGATCCTTTCAAGTTATTTTTATGTATGGAAATAAAAGGTTGAGGTTAATTTTTTATATATGGATACCAGGTATTCTAGTGCCACTTGCTGAAAACACTATCTTATCCTCTGCTCTTGAATTGAGTTTATGTTCTATAAAATGTTAATGTTAATCTTTCAGAACTCAGTGGACCATGTATGTGTGGTTCTATTTCTAGATTCTGTTTTATTCCAATGATCTATGTGTCTTTCCTTATACCAACACTGCCTTGATTACTGTAGCTTTAGAAGAAGTCTTAAAATTAGGTAATAAATGTCTTCCAACACTGTTTTTATTTTTCTTTTTACTTTCCAGTTCCTTTCTACTACTACATAACTTTTAAATTTCAATATCTAATTCATTTATAGCAAGTATACATAGACCTGAATATTTATATACCTTGTGTTTTCTAATCCTGCTAAAATCAATTACAAGTTCTAGGGGCTCCTAGAGATTTCTCAGTATTTTCTCTGTAGATGATCATTTCATCTACATATAAAGATTTTACTTTGACCTTGACAATCCTGTGCTATTTGTTTATCTTTATTGCCAGACTATTTTGGTTTGGGCCCATGTTTCAAAGTTTAATGGACAGATGAAGAGTAGGTATATCTGCCCTTGTTCCCCACCTTAGGGAGAAAGCATTGTATCGTCTCCATTCATAGAAGGAGTTTTTGTTGGAAGTATAGAGTACCTGTCTTTTATCTGTTGAGAAGTTTCTGTTCTACTTCTAGTCTCCTTATACCTTTTGCCATGAACAGCTGTAGAATTTAGTCCAATACTTTTTCTCCAGCTACTGATAGGATCATATGGCTTTTTCCTTTCCTCTGTAAAAATGACTTATGAGGGTGGATCTTCCAATGCTGAACCAAAACTGCCATCCCTATAATAAAACCACTTACATTCTGCCTGCTCTGACTTCTCATAGTTTCTTTTGTTAAACAAATTTTTACTTATGTTCATACTTTTCTATTATCTTTATCCAGTTTTAGTATTAGCACAATGTTGATTTCCTAAAATGAGGGGAGACGTGTTCTTTTTTCTGCTTTAAATGTTTGATATAATTCATCAGTTAAAATGTATATGAGTCTGTTGTCATATAGGTAGGTTTTCAAGTTAGGAATATACTTTAATAGGTGCTATTCAAATTTCATATTTCTTCCAGTTTCATTAATTTGTCTTCCAAGGTACTTCTTAGAAGTTGTCAATTTCAAAAAAGACTTTTGTAATATGCTTTCTATATCCTTTTAAATTCTGTAAAATCTGTGGTAATGTCCTCTAAATCTTGATATTATAATTTAAAAAATGTATAATTGATACTGTGTAATAGGAAGAAAAGGTCTAAAGGAGTACAGGAAATGGGAGGGGTAGGGAAAAGGAAAGGGAAAAGAAAAAATATGAGAAAAGGAAAAAAATGGAAACAAAATCTTTGTAAATAGGGAAGGGTGGAGGGGGTGAAGGGAGGGCAGGGGAACGGGGAAAAAATTTAAGAACCAAGATACGTTATGTAAAGGTACAAGATCCCAATGATGAATGTAACTGTATTTTATACCTAAAATGTACCAATAAACTTAGTGGAAAAAAAAAATGCAAGATGATATTTTAAACCCAAATATATTAGCAATTATACTAAATGTAAATTATCTAAATTCTCCAACTAAAAGACAAAATATCAGGCCACAGCAGGTTTGACAATAAAGATAGGAATGATAATTTCTTTCATGCTATATTAGCCAAAAGAAAATTGTTATAGCTATACTATTAACAGAAGTCTTTCATACAGGAAGAATTAGCAGAGATAAAGATAGTGATTTCATGATAATCTGAAAATTAATAGAACAGGAAGTTATAACTGTATTTTTTGTGGAGCCAGAAACAGTCCAAACTATGAAAACCAAAAACTGGCAGAGCTAAAGAAAAAACATTTCTACTCACAGTTAGAGATTTGAACGTTAAGAAAGCAACACAACAAGCACATGAGAAAAATAAAAATAGGAGATGTAAGTAATTAATAATGGTGACCTAACTAACATATCCAGAACATGGCAACTAAAAGAATGTGTCCTCTTTCCAAGTGGAATGTAAACTAAATAGCTGGTCCATTAAACAAATCTCAACACATTTCAGAGAATTTAAATTTTACAGCATATGATTTCTGACTACAGAAATCAACATCAAGCTAGAAATCAGCATCAAAAAGATAACTAGAAAACCTCCAAATGACTGGAAATGAAGCATTTTGTTACTTAAGTAAATTAGGTCAACAAAGAAATCACAATGGAAATAAGGAACTAAAAACTCCTTCACAATACAAAATACCAAAGTGTGTAGGGTACAGATGAAGTAGTACTGAGGGAAAATATAGTCTAAATGCATATGTTAAGAAAGAAGAAAAATGAAAAACAACCACCTATGCATCCTTCTCAAGAAAAATTTAATCCCAAGAAAGCAGAAAAGACAAAATCTCAGGAATGAAAAAGGAATATCATGCAAAGATACTAGATATGAGAGATATCTGAAAGACAGTAAGATATTATGAACAAGTTTGTGTCAAAAAATGTGAAAATTTAGATGCAATGGACAAATACCTTGGAATTACTTAAACGGACCTAGGAAGGAATAGTGTTGTGAGCTTGTTGTGGGAATTGGAAGGTAATACATGTGAAACACGTGGCACTGAGATTGGCATATATTCAGCTCCTGGTAGGTGGCTGTTATTATTGGAATCATTATGAATAGTGGAAAGAGGCTCCAGGAATCCCTGTAAAACAGTTATCAGTAGAGTAGTTCAAGGCTCCTGGCATCGTTTTGTGAGTCTCAAGGGAAGTAGCAGCCATCCTGTGGGATGCAGAGGCTGAAGCACAGCCCCTAGAGTTAGTTGCCACCTGTGACAAACAGTTGTATGGGTGATCAGGTTGGTTACCATGTTCCCTGTCCACTAAAATGTCACAATTACATGAAAACATAGAACAAAATACATGAGGTAATCAACTAAAAAGGGGAATACTTTATTTTGGCTCATGATTTCAGAACCTGGTTGGGTGGCTTCCTTCCCCCTTGATCCTGTGATGAAGCAATACATCAAATTGGGGGGCATCCAGCAGAGCAAAGCTGCATACCTCATGGTGACCAGGAAGCAGACAACAAAAAAGGAGAAGCCAGAGTCCCAGAATCTCTTTCAAGGGGACATCCCCAATGACCTAACTTCCTCCCGCTAGGCCCCCCCCCCTTTTTTTTTTGGTTCCAGAGATCGAACTCAGGTCTTTGGGCTTGCGAGGCAGGTGGCAAAACCACAGAGCTAAATCCCTGGCCCTTTTTTTTTTTTTTTGGACAAGGTTTCTCTAGCTCAGGCTGAGCTTAAACTCACAGCAGTCTTCCTGCCTCAGCCTGCCAAGTGCTGGGATTATAGGGGTGCACCACCATGCCCAGCAAGGCCCTACCTCTTAAAGCACCCCCCACCATAGTGCCAAGGGCTGAGCCTTTAATACACAGGCTTTTTGGAGGACACTCATCCAAACAAAAGCAGCTGTGTCCGGGCGTTAGTCTGTGAGATGCCTTCCTGACATCAGAGTACTGAGGCGCCTGACCAATAGCTTCAGAGGAAAACCCAAACCCTTGTATAGAAAAGTTTAGTGAGATTTGGCATTGTGGAAAATACTAATTCCTGGCTCAGTCTAAAGCAGTGCCTTCAAGAATCCCTTTTCCTTCTCTTTTTTAATGAGTCCAAGTCAATTATTAAATATCACTGCCAATCATACTCCTCCGAATCTGTGCTGTGTCTAACATTTCCTTTGTAATTACACCTATTGTAGCTGCTCAGTTCCCTTCCCAGACTGACTCATGTCTTTTATTAAGCTGAGCTGGAACTCAACACAGGCCCTGAAGTGCTCCCCAGATACAGTCTCAGCCTCTGGGGTGACTGAAGGGAGGGCAGAGCTGTTTTAATTAACTTTTGTCCTTCTGTCTTTATCACCAAGCCCTTCATGCCCTCTGCTTCCACCCTCACCTTGAACATTCTTTTGTTTTTCTTGGTTACATTTTCCCTCCATTCTTCAGGCAGAGATTTTCCATTTCCTGTGTCAGAACAGAAAGTCCCACCTTTCTTACATACTCATTCCAACCTTTAAAGAGCCCTGTATCTTTGAGTGGGAAGGGAAAAAACTCCACAAGCTTCCTTTACCAAAACTAAAATGGAGGCCATTTTAGCATCTGCATGACTTACAAAGCGTCAACCCAATTCTGAGGTCATTACATTCACCTTTTTTTTTAATTCAAAACACCCATTTACTTAACTGGGAGTGGTCAGAGCAGGAAAGGCAGTAATGCACTATTTTTGAAATACATGTGGTCTACCCGTGAGCTCCATTACAGCAAAAGAATGAAGTGGGCTTAACATTTAACAGTTTTTACAGAAACAGATACCTTAGAACGAAATCAAACTGCCTTAATAAATTACAGTCATGCTAATGAAAACTTCTTCTTGGAGGGTGGGTTATGGCCAAAATCCATACTGTAGGACAATCTTCTGAAAAACTGGAATGTAGAATGTTGGGTTCAATTTAGATATCATCGATGTCTTCATCATCATCCCCGATGTCATCAAACTGAATTTCATCGTCATCTCCAGGACCAAATGTATCAGTTTCATTGATCTTAGCATGCTCAGGAAGCTCGCCATATGCTTTTAGACTTCTTGCTTCATCTGCATTGTATTTTAGAATCACATCAGCTTTGTTATCCTGGTAGTCTCGGAGACCAACCAATATGATGTCTGAGGTATTTATCCAAACCTTTTTTCTCAGTTTCCCTCTGATGTGACACAATCTCTTCACACCATCAAAACACATCGCTTCTAATCGTCCATTTCCCAACATCTTGATTACCTGGGCATATTCTTGCCCATCCTCTTTGAACACCAGTTCTCTTTTTTCAGATTCGTTCTCATTCTTCCCCCTGCGTCTATTTTTACCTCCTTTGCCTTTATTCTTCGGCATGGCGGTTACGACGGCCGCGCGGCTTCTCTGACTTCCCGGGAGGCTCCGGCGACCGCGACTCCTCTGAGGGCCGCGGCGGGGGCTGGGAAGCGCGTGGGACTAAGCTTGCGCTGGAGGCCGAGGTGCGCGCGCAGCTTCTCTGACTTCTTCCCGGGTGGCTCCGGCGACGGCGACTCCTCGGAGGGCCGCGGCGGGGGCTGGGAAGCTCGTGGGACTAAGCTTGCGCTGGAGGCCGAGGTGCGAGCAGCTTCTCGGACTTCCCGGGTGGCTCCGGCGACCGCGACTCCTTCGAGGGGCGCGGCGGGGGCTGGGAAGCGCGTGGGACTAAGCTTGCGCTGGAGGCCGAGAGGCGCGCGCGGCACAGTCTCGCGACCCGGCTCTACCCAGAACCGCCTGCGCCCACGCTCAGCAGCAGCATACGGCGTCGCGGCTGCTTACGTAGCTTTTCCCCGCCTCCCGCCGTCCGTGAGGCCCGACCTCTTCCCGGCTCCCCCACCCTACCAGCCTGCCCCATTACATTCGCTTTTGAGTGATTCACAAGTCATGAACTGCCCAGCCTGTGTCGTTCCAGCACAGATTCTGAAGGAGCTAAAAATGATAAATCATGAACAACGCTAAGGAAAAATGTTTGGGGAAACTAGTGAGGATGGAAAATTCAACCAAACAGTAGAGCAGCTGACCCGGATGGGGCCACGAGTCAGGGGCTGGTGCCATGGGGGAGACAGGTGCTCTAGGCGGGGTACTGGGGATCCAGGGGAGAGGCCTGTGAGCCAGGGCGGAAGCATCTCTGAACCAGAGTTCTGGCCTCCTGCCGTGTGCAGAGTAGGGCCAGGGAGCCTGATGGCCAGCGACGGAAGTCCTGCGGACGCCGACGGTTACCAGCAGTGCAGTGAAGGACACTTCCACCTTGAGACCGTAATGCTAAGTGAGATAAATCTGACACGCAAGCTTGAACATCTCATGGTTTTCTTCATATGAGAAACCCAAAGTATAAATAATGAAAAGAGCAAAATGAAAGTGATATAACAGGAACCGGAGATAGATGTTTTTTACAAGTGGGACGGAGAACAAGAGATGAAGGAAGGGAGGAAGGAAAGGGGGAAGGAAGTAAAAAGAACTAAGATGCGATCTGTACATGCTCCAACTCCCCACCGAGGAATGCAATCATGTACGGAAGACATGTACTAATAAAATTTTTTAGATTTTTTTTTAAATCACATAGAAGAAAGTTTCTCATCTAATCGCCATGAACAAAACGTGGAAAGCTGCATGTAGCCCCAGAGAGTAGTGCCAATGCAGAGCCCCCACGGTGCCCTCCCATCTGCTCCTACAAGAGCCGCCCGTGACGCCCATCACTGCCCCTGCGGTCCCTGCCTGACCTTCCCTGGCACCCAGAGGTGCTGCTCCTTCACGTGGCTCCATAACTTTACACAGCCTGATGGTTCCACTTCCCCACATGCTCATGTTTCTTTACTGTTAGGATTCTGTGACCTAAAAACGTTTGACTTTTTTAGACAACTCTCAAAGGGAATTCCTCAGATGTTGGCTTCTTACACAAAATGTTTATAAATTGCTACTACACATGAAAACTTATTCTTTCCCCAGCCAACTGCAGAAGGGGTTTCTTTGCCCATTTTATAAAGTCCCTTCCTTTGATCTAAAATATAAATCAAAATCATGCACAATTTCCACAGGCTAATAAAAAAGAGATAGCATACTATCTCTGATATTTCTACAGGATCGTGGAATTTGGTAACTACGTCTTTGAACTCCTTGTTATTTTCTTTCTTCAGTCATTTTAAAGAAAAAAATTGAGAGAAGTAGTTTAAGAGAAATCCCTGGAGTTGCATCTCATAACACTCTTACACATGCATTCTGCTCCATGGTTAGTGGAGAGAACAGAGGAATTTATTCACTGCTTGTCGGCTGTGAAAAGAACAATAATAAAAACGTCTCAGTATTCTGGATTCTTTCTAATTTTAAAGTGGGGTATTAAAGTTATCAGCTTGAAAATTCAATTGGTTGTGAGTCAAATTCTTGGTGGCCTTCACTCCAGGGCATATTTTGGAAGTGTGTTACATTTTCTAATGAAGGTATTATAAATGGAAGAATTGTGAAGTTGAAAAGGAATCACCACTTGAACATATGTGTCATCAGCTTAGCCAAATCTTCCCCCTTCCCCTACCCATGAAGAGCCCGTATTTTTAGAAGATGATGATTCTCCCCCACCCAGGAATTGTATCTTTGAAATTGAAGTTTTTAAAAAAAAATCTATTCAGAAATTCTGTTTTGTGTTAGAACAAAATGTTTCCCATGATGTAAACCTCCCTTTGAACACCTTGATAGTACTTAAATTTCACTGACCTCTAAATATAAGGCTTATAAATTAGATTTTCTTTTATATATTGTTTTTGTTTTTCTTTTCCCGAAAGCAAAAGTAATTCCTGCCAGACACTGGGGAGAAACTACTCATATTCTTGACTAGATGACTTTGATATTTTAAAAGTTACATAAAAAGCTGGGGGTGTAGCTCAGTGGTAGAGTACTTGCCCTGGGTTCAGTCTCCAGAACTGCCATACATAAAATTTCAGGCCAAATTATATATACATTTTCAGGATATACTGTAGCTTCTGGGAGCTCTTGTTCACATTAGACCCCTCTGAAACATTGCTCTTAACCCAGTGTTAGTCTGTTCGGGTTACTATAACAAAATGCCACAGAATGGGTAGCTTATAAATAACACAAATTTATTTCCACAGTTCAGGAAGCCAGAAAGTCAACAATCAAGGTACCATCAGATTCAGTGAACCCATTTTTTCCCATTTTCTGGTTCATAAATAGTGCTTCCTTGCCATGCCCTCACACGGAAGAGGAGGGAGGTCCCTCAGGCCTTTTTTATAAGGGCACTAATCTCATTCACCAGGGGTCACATTCAGATCAGAGCCTCCACAACAGTTCCTTATGTGCATGTTAGAAACATGTGCACCCTGAACATCATGATTATGAAAAATGAAAGCTTGGGTTAAATACTTTCCTCCATGCAAATCAGTCTACATGGATGCAGTGGGGGTTTTCTGGAGAATTACTTCCCAGAGTTCTTTCCAGGAGCCCTAAGGGGAACTGAATTAAAATACTTTGCAGGTCTACACACTGGATTTTCTGCTGCATATTCTGCACCACCAGTTAATCATGAAGAATTTAATTTTAAAACATGAACATGTCCTCCTGGTTATATAATATGATTGATTTCCCCTGTGAGTATCAAGGGAGTTTGATTGCTGCCCTCATGGGGCTTATAATCCAGCAGGGAAGACAAATGGTAAATAAGACTCGTGAGAGGCTGCTTAGAAAGGGTGGCTGCACAGGGCTCGCATCTCTGAGCACTTCCCTCCTACAAGTGCCTTCATCCATGAACATGTGCTGAGTCCACCTCCATCAGATGAGTCCCCTCTTACTTCATCTCTATTTTGCAGAGGAGAAACCTGAAGCACAGGAAGCCAAATGACATGTTCGGGGCTTTCAGCTGCTGAGTGATACAAGCAGAATTTGAACCAGGGAGTCTGACTTCTAGGCCTTCAAGTCTACACCAGGGATTGACTAAAGACATGTACCCTAGAATTTTTCTTCTGGAGACTTCTTCTCACTTCCTCCTTCCCCTCCTGTTATCTCCATTCCCATCCCATTACATACATTGGTGGAATTGGGAGCAGAGCAAAGAACAAAGCTGAGGAGGAAATGGAGCGTATCAGGTGCCAGCACATCTATAGAGGAGAAGCACTTCCACTCTGTGCCACCAAGAATCAGGAAGACCTCAGAGGGCCAGGGGATTCCCAGCAGGTGCATCTTGAGGTTTTAGGTTGGACCACCCATACCTTGTGTCCTCATGTTGGCTCTGTCATCTGCCTCCCCATGGGCATGGCTACTCTGGGTGATTCTTGGTGACACCAGGAATTACCTCTTCACCCTTCCTTGTCTCGTGTGTGGTATAACTTTTATCCGTTGCTTCCTCAGAAAGAATTTCAATGTCATTGTTCTTGCAGTGCCTCAAAAGTTTGATGGAACAGTGATATGATGACTATTGATCAAGCTGGTAAAATGTTGGGCTCCTGAAGTTTTAACAAATGCTCATGCAAACTTTAGTTTGTTAAGCTGTGAAATCTCCCAGCATTGAATACACAGTTGGCTCCGTGGGATATTGGGAAGAAACTTTCCCTCTTTTCCCTCCTCCGAGTTCTGTGATAAACTAATAAAGAAACGAATACCATCTCATTGGCAATGGACGACAATGTTGTAATTTTTTTCTGGAAGAAGAATAAATGTGGAAGCTATTAGTTCTCAAAGGAAGGAACAATTGATGTGTCAACATTTGGGAGTTTTGTTTAAATCATGTTAGTCAAGTTCTGTCTAAGAGCCTAATTTTTTCTTTTGTTGTGAAATTTGGCTTGGAATGGAACTATCTTTAAAGTTTAATTTCACTGTGCCTCCCACATAAAAGTATTGTTCTGATTTATTTATTTCACAATGCTGAGTCCTTTACTGCTTTAGTATGTTTCCTCTGATTGCACGAGAGGCTATGTGATGTCCTTCATCATTTATTCATTGTCTTTCTTTTCGTGTTAATTGGGGCTCCTAATACGTGACCAGCACCAAGCTACTTGGTGGAGTTAATGCACAAAGCTCAGTCTCTCAAGGAGCATGCATGGTCCCCACTTCCTACTGCTCTTTCTCCTCCCCTTTCTTTCTTGTTTTTCCTTTACCCTTTGTCAAGGAAGAATATTAAATGTGGGTCTCATTAGAAATCAGTCTCTTCTAATAGATTTAGGAATCACCGCTTACCCAAGTAACAGGCTGATAGATGTCAGGATACTGCTGATAGCTGTGCAGTTCTGAACAGGAGACGAGGAATCCTGAATTCACAGTAGAAACCCTTGGGTCTCAGCTCACTTCATTGCTGTGGGCATTAGGCCAGTCATTTCTTTCCCCAGAGACTCAGTCCCTTATGTCTGTCATGGTAAAACCAGAGAATAAGTGAATTCTCTGTAATTCGTTAACATTCTTGTTATGTTTAAAGTACTGCACAAATATAAAGGTATAACGTTTTTAATCATTTGATGATTCTTTTTCTTTTGATAAATGAGGTTGAACAAGCCCTTAAAAAACTTAAGATCTGGTTTTTCCACCTTCAAATACACATATTCCAAAAGAAAATAAAACATAATGGCTATACATACTTTAAGTTCTTGATTAATATTTCCTTCATTAAAATACATAACCTCAAAATTGCCTAGGTATTTAGACACTACCACCACATTTGTAAGTGGTTTTTTAAAATTTGACCATTCCTTGGAGGAATTTGTACTTTGTTAGGAAACACAAAAATGTTTTTTATTTTTACCTCCAAATTTGCTAGATATACAA